TATGCCTCCTGGAATACCCACTTGAAAGACGAAGTAACTTGTGCCATACATGCATGGTCCCCGCAAAATAAGGGTGCCCAATCTTGGCTGACGAAATTCCTTTTCGGTACAAAGTATAGCAAGGGGGCATAAGTCGAATATTTTACCCTGTTTTACGTGTTAACTGCCGGGGTATGCAGAAAACAAAGTGAAAAAGGTTTTAGGGGACGTCGCAGAAAGAATATTCCACAGTATAACATTTCCCCGATATATATAGAGAATGGCAAAATTACTATATGCGATAAACCCAAACAGTTGCTGACACGAACTGCTATTGATATATTAATGAAAAAAAATGGATAAAAAAAATTAGGAATAGAAAAAAATCATCGCCAAAAATCATTGCGTTCTCACTGATGGCAATGAGTACTATTCAGAAAGCAGCCAAGTTTGGCGCATGCAGAAAATTTAAATTTTGTTTCGAACAGAACTACTTGTAATCTCTCTTTAGAACAAAATTTAAGGGGTACCAGAAATAATAATTTGTACATAATATTCTCCCTAATGAGAACCCTAATGGGCCCAATAAGCGAAAGTCGTTCTACACAGAAAACAGTCCCGCACAAAATTACTGTTGAGAGAGTCTATCAGTAATGAATTATTTTTTAAAGCCCTTATATATACTCGAAGAAGCGGACAGGTGATTTCAGAGGTTTAACCTTAAATTTGAAAAATGTTGCTTCATAATAAGATTTTCAAAATTTGGAATAATTAAAAAACCAGCATGCGTCAGCAAAATTACAGTTTGTAGGCCACAGAGAAATCCATCCTATACCGAACTGTGATGATTTGAATTACAAATAAATACTGCTCATTGATTGTGCACGTCAAAATATCGAAATGAAGCTGACGGAAATTAAATCATAATTAGTCCCCTCTCAGCAGTGACTCAAAATTTTGGTACAGTCAATCGAATGAATGGAAAACTGAAGCCAGGCCGATTTTCATAGTTCTAGTCTATGAAATTCTGCGCGAATCCGAAAATCTGCTGGAGAAATCGTGGTGTTTTTTTTTTCAGGCTGCGAGAGCTTCTTCCATTGATTGGAAAGTGTTTCCTCAAAAGATAAAATTTGCCTGCTCAGCTATATAAACTCAATTCGGAGATCTCCTGAAATAAGAGCTGCAGTCTTTCTTTTCTTCCAATCTTTGAGCATCCAAAACGATGACCAATAATAAAGCGACCGCCGGAAACACTGACTGTTTCCGGTGCTCTTGATACAATCCTCTTCGCCTTTTGTTTTGTCAAATAACATCACCTCTGTCTCCCGGAAGGAAGCATACCTTATTGTCGGGAAGTCGGTTGTTTTGTGCTCCAAACAAGGAACAAATGGAAATAGAATGACGTGCTGGAGAGAAAAGAAAGAAGAAGAAAAAATAGGCGACACGCAAAAGACTCCTGATCGTGGACGCGTGCCATCCCATCCCCAGCACTCAATCGCCCGCTTCCTCCTTGCCCCGATTTCCCCTTGGCTTCCGGGGGAGGAACCAAGCTGGTCACACAACTATACACCAAGACAAGGAGGGGAAAAGGAAGCCTTTATTGCATCCGACCAAGAAAGGACGACGAGGCAGCGCTGCTCGCATAAACCGGAATAGCCCGTGGTGCTTAGAAGTGCCTGGGGGCAGGGGTAGCAGGTCAGAGGAGGAACGACGTCCTGATTTCAATATGCGAATTACTGTATGTGAAAACAAATGTTGAAACGACTTCTGCGATCCTGTTATTTTTCTTGAGTGCAAAATGCATCAAGATGGGAAGGAAAACAAAGATAATGCATTTTGTTTGGGGGAAGGAATATAAATGCATTTGTAGCGCATTTGTAATGCATTTGTGGGTCTATAGAAGTACAGAGATACCCTGCCATGAACATACATTAATGCAAGCACATAAGCACATGTACACTATATGAATTTAGTACATTTAAAAAATTAATTGATCCAGACAAACAAACGGACAAGAAAGCGAGTTAATAAAAACGTGTTAAAAATGCTAGGATTGTTCAAGTAATATGAGCTCTTTAATCCTTGTATGTCAAAGTCAGGTAGTATTTTGTTACATTTTGTGCCAAAGAGCATTGAAAAACATCAACTGTGAGTTAAGGCCTGATGAGTCAGGAAAAAGTCCAATACTGTATACATATACTGTTTATTTGTTTTTGCTTTCAGAAAATTCATGCTCAAAAAATATCTTGCTGAATGGCATTTTTCCTGCATTCCTGGTGTATCATTAGCATTGACAATTTCTGATAGCAGAAGAATTTACCCTCCCCAGATTTTTCCCAACTCAAGCATTTTCAACCAAGGCAGGTGACCGTGGGTCAAACTGAAATGTGCCTGTGAATGAAAAAATCTTGACTGCTCTGTAGGGTGGAAAAAAGACTGCCACTGTCCAAGGGTCAAATCAAATACAGAGAGACTTGCAAAACATTCTTCTTAGGAAGTTCTTGGTACACAATTGCCAGACTATTTGCTGGGAAACAATCACAGGAAGGAAAATCCAAGGTGATCTTTTGTATTCAAAACTACTTCATAAATGAGATGAAAGGCTGCTGAACATGGAAGCAAGGGTGCATTTGTCCAAATGGTCACTGATACACCAATGAAAATTATCAGGTTATCTTTTTTTTTTTTTACTCGTCTTATTCCTGGGTTTGCAGAATGATATACCAGGAAAGGTAAAAACATTTGGATCTCTACAGGTTTGAGGGGAATGTTTTCAAAGTAGGAAGGACAATGTAACATTGTCCTATGTTACCGTCCTTCCTACTGACCTACAGATGGGCACTGGGCTAAAATTTTTTAAGGGAAGGTATAATATTTGACTGAGGGAGGTTTGAGTTAGCAAGGTGTGTCATATGACTCATATATAGTGGGCGAATCCCTTCTAAGTTACTTCCATGCCCTGAAATGCTTTCAGAATCCTATGCTTAAAGTGTTTAAAACACCTTGCTGAACTTGTCTTACTCATCTGCATAGTAAACTGGAATCCAAATGAAAGCCTTTGGAGAGAAATAGGAACTTATTTCCAGATCATAATACTGAAGTAAATTATTTCAATTTTCATTAAAGGAAGAAGGTAAAACTTGGAACATTGAATAATGTTTAAATTTAATTTACAGTATACTCTTAATAGTTTGTGCTATCTCAAATCTATTCAATACTCATACTTAATTTAAAATACATTTTATTTGAAAATTTCAGGAAAGGAATCCTTGTCCATTACTCCATTTTAAATACCCGCTCTTGACCAACAGCAACCAAAAAACTGCGCATAAATCGCCGACCCATTTTCTTGCTTTGTGCTGAATTCCTTGTGTACTGTATATGGGGGACGAATGACTTATTTCACCCGTGATGAGAAATCCCTGCTACACCAGCAGTGGGAAAGGGTCGAAGCTGTGGAAGGGATGTCAGTTCGATCAAGATTTGCCCAATATAGAGGAACAATGCTAGGGCAGTACAGTATAGAGAATCAAAAGGGCCGTGCCATAGTTCGTCCCTTGTCTGTGGTAAAGAGGCTTTCAAAACATCACTTGCTCCAAAAGAAGGGGTCGGTCAGCAACTCAGCACTCCATGAGGCAGGTTCATGGGGTCGATTTGTGCGGGGTCAGGTGATGCATTATATTGAGTTTTCGGCGAAGTATCAATTTTTCTTTCGACGGCGCAGTAGAGAAGACCATCATTACATCGATTCCAAAGATGAGACAAAATTCCATGAAATGATCGAAAAAAAAGGGCGGAAAACACAGTCGCAAGAATGCTAAATCCGAGCAAATTCCTCATTGCAGCCAGCACTCACAGCAGTGATCATAATACAGTACTGAACTTCTGTTGTCAAAATGATGTAATTGACATCATGGAATTTCTTTCATTTACTCATTGTGCTTTGTGACTAGAAATTCCAGTACAGGTCATTACACCCTTGATGGTGCAGAAATGCAAAATAGGATTCGAGCCGTGTTTCGAGGCTAATGCCAGTTGAAGTGTCTCCATCAGCATGGAAAACGGAAAGATTTCCCCAAGTGCTATTAATACTGCTAAGAACATCTACTCCTGCCTTCGGACAGGAAAGCTGGAGAGTTTCGACTCTACCCTGGTCAAAAGATGTCACTCACATACTCCGCCCTTCGAATTTTCATCCACATGCGCAGTACACAGAACTACTGAATCACATCACTCGAATAACCAATCACATCACTCAGCAGTAACGAAATGTTGTTCGCGATATGTATCGCTGTCTTGCACGTGGAAGACAGTTTTAACATCCTCGAAAGTCAAATCATAAATAATGTCGAATACTTATTTCAATTGCTGTAGCGACGCCTCGGCGGCAAACTGCACAGAGAACACGCCTAAGCGGAACTGTATGCTATAATTGAGTTAAATATTTGCCCTCTCCTTTTGAGTTTTACTTTAAGAGTAGTTCACTATATATCCTGGGGGTTTCATGTTGCGGATATGTTTGAGGTAAATGAAGGTTCGTTATGGGTGACGTACTGATTCGAGTTACATACAGTATTAGAAGACAAATCACAAATAAACTGCATAAAAACGGTCGTTGAATTGTGCGTTCGTAGTAAGGAGCATCTCAGATACGTCATTTTTCTAACCCCAATTGTTGAACCAGGGAAACGTCGAACACATAATGTACATTTTATGAACACTCTATGTATCATTTTCCAATACAAGACCATTTTCACCCGATTTATGCCGCACTCTAATGATTTTCAAACCTATTCTTGAAGGCGTACAACCTCAGTTAGTTCCCTTGAAATTGAGGCTCTTGGGTTTACAGTTCCAACGTTCTTCTAAATTAATTTTTCGTTTGAAAATTCTTCAAGAAACTTGAGACGCAAAGAAGTTTTGTGAGAAATATAGGGAGATTGAATCGACGGATTCAATCTCCCTTTTCATGCTGGTGTGGAACTATGATAGCAAAATATTGTAAATCCAAAAGATCATGGTTGTTGCGCTTATTGACAATTATAATGCATCCTCTGGGAAAGCACACTTAAGAGCGAGACGATCGAAGATATTGAACCATTTTCGTAAAATCAGTGATCAGGGTTCGAATGTCACTGCAAAGCCAGCGAGACGGCAAAGAAGAATTGACCTGATCAGAGGTCTCGGTCGAATTAATCCGGAAGCCATTGAAAGTGTTGACGAATCTTGACAAACAACTCATTAGATTAACCCAGTTTTCTAAAGCATTCGGCTGCAACTGATGGCTCTGACCTTCCAGAGACTCTTCGACGAGCGTCTTCATGCGAGCAATTACCAGGGATATGCTCCATTGGTTATTCGAGTGATTCACAGATGTCGCTAGATACCCCTTCTCCAGGTCAGTTCCCGCACTTCGAACAAATGTCAAATTTCAGGATTTTTCTCAGTAGCCGGTTTTGAAATTAAAAATCATTTATCAAATGTCAACCTGTTTTCAGATTTTTCTTGATGAATTGGAGATTGCTGTCGCGAGGGCATCTTTCCAGGAACCGATTCTTCTCCTTGAAAAAACTCTTGAGAGTTCGCCTCACTCATCAGATTGCTGCTTTTCGTAGTCATGATTTTCCCGGGAATTGCAAAACCGTATTCGTAAGGCATCCTAATGAGCAATAACATTCAATCTAACGTGGGTAAGAGTAAGTAGTTCAAGTGGTAACGTGACTTGACTGTCGTCTGTTACGTTAAGCAGGACGCAATGATGGAAGCGTATCATTCATATTTAATACTAACCAGCACATGAGTGTATCTGTGGTCGACTGAAGGTTGGGACATTTGTAAGAAGTGCATGATGCTTGGGTTAATAATTCTGCACAACTTCGTGTTTTTTTCTTTGATACTATGATAATTCGCACTGCATGCACTCGATTATTAAGTGTTAAAAGTACTGTGACAAGTGCGCATGAGTTTTTTTCATTCGTTATTCCGTATTTCGATAAATTTTCCTCTCGGAATCACGTGATTCTAGAATGTCTTTCACGTAATTGGCACATTTATGGAATTCAGATAGTGTATTCATTGAGAGGAATGAGTGTTTCGAACAGCGTTTCATGCGGCTCCTATATATTGGAATTATTAAATTGAATCCATTTGATAAATACAGGGTATGAGAATATATAAAGGAATCCGCCAGGTTAATTTTTGCATTGGCCAGAAAGTATCCAAGAAATTTTGCGTGGAACAGTTGATGAGTTAGAATCTTAGTTGGTTTCATAAAAATTGACAGACATGAAAGACATCAGAAAAATACATTATACCCGCATAAATACGAGTATAATGCAGTATACAATACCTGTCAAGTCATGATGATGGGTTTCAACTGGAATGGATTTTTGCACAATGACAAACTTTAGATGAGCAACCGTTTTTTTATATTTTGACATTGAATTTGCACACCACGTACATTTTTTTTTTAGAAGTGAGGGACTATAAACCAAGCATCTGCGGGAAATGTGGTTGGCACTTTTGCATTTCAAATGGATTCAATGCTTTTAATCATTTTTAGGATTGCGGTGATCTTGCATTTCCTTGCTGATGGCATTTCAAAATTGAGAAATTGTTAGTCAGTGATTTGCTTGAAAATATGCGTTGAAAATTCGAAGGGATCTGAAATTCATCATTCACCAATGGAAATGATTCATTGAGCGTGGACCTATTTTTAAATGTTTTGGGAAATATTTACCTTTCAAAATTGCCTGCAAATTCTCCGTGCAATCAGATATTGAGGATATTCGACTTGCAAATTGTCTGGTTCCATCTCTCTGATCAATTCCACGGCCAACGATATTAGATTGACAATATGCGCATACATTTCTCCTAAAACTTTAAAATTTACCAGACAACAAAAATACAGCTGAAACTGGATAACTTGAACCTCCCTGACTAAGTCAAATACCTCTTTATGCCAATTTCTTTAAAGTTCCAGTCTGAATTTCATTAGATACAATGCATTCAAAATCCTCCAACCCAAAGGCTTTCACCCCCCTTCAATCTCCATAGCTTTAATTTTTCCAGGGCTTTTGGCTTTTTTGGGAAATACTATTTACATAAATGGGATTGCAATTTGTAATATTGTAGGCTTTGAATTGCTTCATAATTGACTTGGAAGGATACTTAACTAGGAGGCCTGGGCTCATTTGCCTAATGGGTCATTTCCATTCAAAATACAGATGTAGTTGCATTTTTATTATTTTTTGTTCCTGAGTAAAAAAATATGCAAAAATGCCGCCAGAAAATGCAACTTATAGAGGTTTGAGGAGAAAGGCCTTTGAGGTAGGCAGGTTTTTAATGCTTTCTAGGGGAATACACATGGGGATTTGAGAAAAAGTTGACATGATATAGGGAGGTTTTTGAATTTACTGCATGGATGTTTGAGTTATCAACCATATACTCAAAGCTTAAGCAACATGAATTCTCTTCCTTGTCCCTTGAAGTTTGACTGATGAACCTCCCACTTCCAGTTATTTCCATTAAATGATTGGGTTTCCCTCTGCGAATAAACATACAACAAATATTAGACACAATTCCAACTTCCAGTTGAATCTCTGGTCTAAAGAACAGTGATCACTAAACAGTGGTCCACAAGCCATTGCTGGTCCAGAGCAATTTTTGCATGACTGTGGGAAATTTTCTTCAGCAAAATAGTCATAAAAAGTAG